CAATTAATGGGATGATAATCAGGTGTCAATGTGGGAGGTCCTGCCTTATTTAAAGAACAGAATTGTGGGGATTCACTATCAAAGTCTGATCTTCACAACACAGGTATGTGGAATTGTGTCATGGCTTGAACAAAGGAGATTTCTGAGGACTTCTGAAAAACAGTTGTTGATGGAAAAGGTTACAAAACTATTTCCAAAGAGTTTGGACTCCACCAGTCCACTGTCAGGCAGATTGTGTACAGTGGAGTCAATTCAACACCATTGTTACCCTCCCCAGGAGTGGTTGACTAACCAAGATCACACAAAAAGCAAGGTGTGTAATACTCCGGGAGGTGTCAAAGAACCCCAGGATAACGTGCAAGGAACTAAAGGCCTCTCTTGCATTGATGAATGTCAGTGTTGATAAGACCACCATCAGGAGAACACTGAACAACAATGATGTGCATGGCAGAGTTGCAAGGAAAAAGCCTCTACTCTCCAAAAAGAATGTTGCTGCCCATCTACAGTTTGGGAAAGATCACGTAGATAAACCAGAAGGCTTTAGAAGAATGTTCTGTGGACAGATGAGATAGAGCTTTTTGGCTTGAATGAAAAGTGTTATGTTTGGCGAAAGGCAAACACTGCATTCCAGCATAAGAACCTTATCCCATCTGTGAAACGTGGTGGCAGCATCATGGTTTGGGCCTGCTTTGCTGCCTCTGGACCAGGATGGCTTGCCATCATTGATGAATCTATGAATTCTGAATTGTACCAGCAAATTCTACAGGAAAATGCTAGGGCTTTTGTCTGTGAACTGAAGCTCAAGAGAAAGTGGGTCATGCAGCAAGACAGCAACTCAAAACGTTCAAGTCGTGCAATCAAGTAATGGTTGATGCAGAAGAAAGTTAATGTTTTGGAATGGCCAAGTCAAAGTCCTGACCTTAATCCTATAGAAAGAACTGAAGCTCAAGAGAAAGTGGGTCATGCAGCAAGACGGCAACTCAAAACGTTCAAGTCGTGCAATCAAGTAATGGTTGATGCAGAAGAAAGTTAATGTTTTGGAATGGCCAAGTCAAAGTCCTGACCTTAATCCTATAGAAATTTTGTGGAAGGACCCAAGTGGGCAGTTCATGCAAGGAAGCCCACCAATATCCCTGAGTTGAATCTGTTCTATAAGGAGGAGTGGGCTAAAATTCCTCCAAGCCAATGTGCAAGACTGATCAATAGTTATCAGAAACATTTAGTTGCAGTCATTGCTGCCCAAGGGGGGTGCACCAGTTGTTGAAAGCAAAGGTTCACATACTTTTGCCACACACAAGTATGTAGCTTTCGATCATTTTCCTCAAAAAATCAGTAAACAAGTATAAAGTTTTTGACATATTTGTTTTATTAGGTTCTCTTTATCTAGTTTTGGGACTTGTGTGGAGAACAGATCACGTTTTATGTCATATTTATGCAGAAATATTGAAAATTCAAAAGGGTTCACAAACTTTTAAGCACCACTGTAATATACTGCCTTGATAATGTGAAAAAGGACAAATTCTTTTCTCACAGTTTCATCCACTGAAATTAAATACTGGAGTTTCAGAACCAAGAGAGGGAAATGTGTTTTCACACAGGACATAATTAAAGTTTGGAATTTGCTAACAGCACTTGTGGTAATGTCAGCCAAACTGGATTTAAAAAAAAGACTGGACAAATACACAGAGGATCAGGGGCTACTAATACTGATGATTATTTATTACCTCCTACATCATAGGCAGTGTGCTTTAAATAGTGGTTTCTGAAAAGGGTCTGTAAAAGGGTCTATTGCTTGTCAATCCAGGCTTGTGAGCTTCCCAAATGCATCCAGATGGCTAATCCAGCAGGTCTCTTCTTATACATATGTTCTTGTGAATGAGCAAAGTTCATACAAGGGGAATATGTAAAGTATACCAGATTAATAGATCATATTTGGTTAGTGTGGCAGATGAAGCTAAGGAGAGACATAGCTCCTATGAAATGCTAACTTTTCCAATTTTCCAGCTGGTCCATATGCATATATGTAAAGAATAGGTGGAAGAACAAGACACCATAGACATAGTAGGTTATTCATATATCACCTTAAAATGGGATGTTCTGAAGACCCAGGGGCTGAACCTTTACAAATTCAACAACTTCCTCAAACAGATGAAGTCCTGGTCCTAATAAGTACGTCTCAACACACACAGTGAGGCAGTTGCCCCCTTGTGATTCAACCAGATTCAGTCAATAGAGGGAAAATTTAGGGAGAGATTGAATAGTATCTGTTGATCCCATTGGTCCTGCGGAAAAGCTCTCTGGTTCCCTAATAAATGTAATCCTTGGAGAAAATCTGCCAAGGAAAAGGAAATACATGATGCAGAAGTGACCTGGGTTTGGGGGAAGAGGAAACAAAGCTTTAGCCTAAAGATGTCAATGAACTTTCAACTAGAAAAAAATACAATAGCGAAAAGAATTTTTAAAATTTGATTAAACCTGGAGTTGCTATAAGATTTACTAATTTCTCCAGAGCTTTTTGCTCTAGGCTGACCTGTGAGGTGGACCTCCATTATACTTCCACATCCTACTGATTTCATTGATGAAATAAAGATTATAGTGATAAAGATGACTTTGAGTAGAGAACTAGCAATGGAAAGATTGAATATGAACAAAGGTGCAGTTCTTTGTATAATGCCACGGCTATTGCAAGGTGTGGCAAGCAATTATATTGATAAATCTCTGGCAATTTTAAGTGAAATAAAAATGAACTATATAATAGGTATCACATGAAATATGGTTCTAAGGAAAACTGTTCAGGTCATCACATGCTAGAGTTAACTGTACAGACCTCTTCTTCCTTGACTCCAGAAAATCCACCTCTTAGAACTCATTTGTGACAATCTTCTGAATAAGGCACAACAGTTCCAAAAGAGGCATGATTACTTACTACATAGACTTACTCTAATTCTTCTACTAGTAGGATTGGATCCAGCCCCCAGAAGAGATTGCCAAAGGTTCATTTTATGAAGGGGAAATTTCAGAGCTGATCATGAAGAGACAAATGTAATTTGAAAGAAAAACAACCTTTGATTTAAGGTGGAATACAACTACAATTTACTTGTGCTCCAAAAGGAAAGCAAGTAAAGGGACAAAATCTTACTTTCATGCTACATGAATACTGAAGACTTTGAACAATTTTGCCCCTATATGTTCACTTAGAAATTAGTCTCCTTGCCCACAAATTTTGCCTTGGTTTTTTTCTAGCTTTTTCAGTCAGTATATGGGGACAGAAATTCTACAAGTGCCGCTAACCAAGTCATTTGCTACAATTGAACCTAATTAATTTTTCTCTGATGCTGTAGTAGAAGATGTGTCATTCTGCCTTTCTTTTTGCTCTTTTAGATATGTGTTGTTTTTATTCTTTGGGCCTGTAGATTGGTGCCTGTACTGCTAACATTTATACAACATCAGCAGTGTTAGCCAGCATTAACAAATCTAACTTCATTATGGGATAAACAGTTAGCAGCAGTCAATCCCAGTGGTTTGATTAAACAGCCAATATCCACATATCCAACCTGGTTTTTATCAAGTGTCTTTGAATTGGTATGTTGGCATTACAGTTCCAGAATTTCCAGACAATATGATCAGATTTGCAGCAATCTGGGAGAACATTGTGCTAGGGAAGTCTGAAATCGTTGTCACATAATTTAGATATGCTTTTAAAAAAAAAACATAGTTGTATACAAAAAATGTTATACTAGATGTACAATGTTGAGATGCACTCTCAATATATTATGTATATTTAACATTTACATCCTAATACTGAATCAGCAATTCTTTGTGGCTGCTTTCAGAGAGAACCTCCCAAGCCGCTTCAAATTTAAGGAGTACTGTCCACTGGTATTCCGAAATCTCCGGGAAAGGTTTGGGATTGATGATCAGGACTATCAGGTAGGGAACAAGTTGATAGCTTTTCATTGAGGTATGTCAAAATAATTGAGGTATGACAAAAACTATTTCTGGCTCTGTGAGAATTGGGAATTGACTTTGTGCAAGAATGGGACCAGTATGAGGAGCAGGTATCAGTGAATCAGATTGAATTATTTATTGTATTGATTACATTTGTATTTTCCTTCAAAGAGCTCAAGGTTGTATGCGTGGTTTCTCCTCACAGCAATTATTTGAAATATACTAGGCTGAAAAGATGGGAAGTAATGTTCCTATCTCAGTGAGATAGGAAAAAAAAAGTAGGTTTGGGGAAGGGACAGTAAAGATGAGTGGATACGTAAAGAAAGATACAAAAATGTGGAGAAGTCTAAAAAAAAGAGGGAGATAGCACAAATCTTTAATAGAGATTAGATGTATGTACAGTGGGGCAAAAAAGTATTTAGTCAGCCACCAATTGTGCAAGTTCTCCCACTTAAAAAGATGAGAGAGGCCTGTAATTTTCA